CGTTGGCAATCATAGCTTCGAGGTTGTAGACAATTTCGTCTACCTAGGGACCAGCATTAACACCAATAATAACGACAGCCTTGAAATCCAACGCAGAATCACATTGCCAACAGGTGCTACATTGAACTGAGTAGGAAATTGAAAAGTAATTTCCTGTCTTGGCGAACGAAACCCAAACTCTATCGGTCCTACTATATGGCGCAGACGCGTGGACGATGGCAAAATCTGATGAGTTTTTGTGAGAAAAGTTTTGCGAACGATTTATGATCCTTGGCGTATTGGCAACGGCGAATGCCGCAGACGATGGGACGATGAACTGCATCACTGCATACACTGGCTTGTCGTCCAAATGGATGAAAGCACTTCAGCTTCAAAGGTTCAGCTGGAGAGTGTCAGCCAAAAGAAGAGAGGAATGGCGCGCTTATATTGCTTCGGCAATAATCGCGTAAGCGGCGTCAACGGCAATATGGAAGAAGAGGAAAAATATTTCACATGTAATGCCAAGGTTCAGACTTTATAATAAAAAAGGAAAAATGTATGAAAAAATATTTAAATGTATTTTATTAACTTTTTTTCGAAGCCGCAAAGTGGACAACTCTGCATAAAAGCTACAACTTGACGGTGAAAAGAACAAAAAAATACTATTGGCAAATTTAAAATTGATGTAATTTTTATAAAAAAAATTTTAATTTTCAAAAATTTAATTTTAATGTCTTCAACTGCTATAAAAATTTCATAATTTTTTCAAAATTTCCTCTTTTCTGCTTAGTTTCGTTGCAAACGCTTTGTAGGTTCATTTACATACATTCATTCAGAAGAAGGTTTTCATTTGGTATTCATGCAACATTACCCAACTGTACAAACAATCATTGACCAAACATCATTAAACGCTCTTCACATAAAATGTATTTAAGTTTATAAATAAAATAAATAAAAAAAAAAATATAAAATGCCAACACTTTTCATTCGATAATTAATTATTTCATTCGCAGCGTGCGAAAACTGTGTTGGTCTGATTGCGAAAAAAGGGCGTCCGGGAGCACCAGCAAATAGCAGGTTTTATTATTATTAATTTTATTGCACATACATATATAGCATGTGTGCATACGTGTAAATTAATGGTGCGCTAGTGCGCTATGCGCTTAATAACAATTATCTCCACTGACACAAAAAAAAAAAAAAACAAAAACCAAAACAAAAGAGCGGTGAGTTTGCAAGTAGAAAATAAAGCGAAATAAATTGGCAATAAAATATAAAATGAAGCAGCGAAAACAAAGGCCATCAAAATACATATGTTTGTACACACCTAAAATGAAACGGAAATTAATGGAATGTCAAAATATGCATACAAATGAACAAAAATGCACCTTAACCCTTGACACAACTGCACAGACAGTCTTTGCTAAATTCGTGGTTACGCCAAAAATTTGCGGTTTGACCTCTTTTTGGTGAATGTACATTTAAATATAGATTTTTGTATGTATGTATATATGATTTGAATGGTGATAAAATCAAATTTGTTACAAATCGCAATCTGTGACTAATTTGCAAAACCAAATGAGGTTAACTTTCTAATTATGAGAAGCATGAAATTATTCTTCCCATCACCTTTTATCGCTTTTCATATTTATTTACAACAATTTCTCATAAAAAATGTGCAATTGATAAAAAATATAAATATATAAAATATGCATAACATAATGTAAAATTTGTTCAATAATTTCATGTTGCACGACTTAAAGTGAACTCTCTTTTACTGCTGGAAAATTTTTTTTAGAAAAATAAGTGGAATTAATATACTTTCTTGTGATAATTTTCTGCGAGACACAAATAATTTACACAAAAGCAAATATCTCATGAGATCTGTTTTCGTTGTAAAAAATAAAAATTGAACTGGTTTTAGTAAGCAAACACATAATTTTTTTTTCAACTGAATTTAGTGCTTGTCCGTGCTACTAAGATTATGACCTCAGCTGCAAGCAAAGTACTTTTCATTTTGTGCGTGCTCTTCACAAAGATCAATCCATAATTCAATTTACAACAAAACATGTCTGAAAATAGTTTATAATAATTTCTTTATTTTGTTTTTTTTTTTTATATATTATTTTTGTATATTATTTTAGTGTTTTTCTTTTGTTTTTTTTTTTGAATTTTTTTGGTAATTTTTTGTTTGTTTTTTTTTTTATTTTGTTTTTTGTTTTTTTTTTTTGTTTTTTATTTTTTTTTTCGTTTTTTGTTTTTTTTTTGTTTTTTATTTTGTTTTTTATTTTATTTTAANATTTTTTTTTTTTTGTTTTTTATTTTGTTTTTTTTATTTTGTTTTTTATTTTATTTTTTTTTTGTTTTTTATTTTATTTTATTTTTTTTGTTTTTTATTTTACTTTATTTTTTTTGTTTTTTATTTTTTTTTTGTTTTTTATTTTATTTTTTTTTTGTTTTTTATTTTATTTTTTTTGTTTTTGTTTTTTCATTTGTTTCTTTCGTTTTTTGTTTTTTTTTGGCTGTTTTTTTTTTGTTTTTAATTTTTTTTCGTTTGTTTTTTTATTTTTATTTTATTTTTTATTTTTTTTTTATCTTACTTTTATTTTTATTTTTGTGGTCTATAGACGACTCAACAGACTACAGTGCACCCGTAGGTAAGGAATATTTTTAACAGCTAATTCAATTGAAAAATTACTCCGCCCGGAACGTTGTGGACTTAGTACTCAACTGGAACCATAATACAAGGCTGCGTTGTGACGATAAATTTCACGTTGATCAAAAATTTCGATCGAGTCGGTTGAAAGGTTTGAAAATGTTATCGTTAAAGCAGTTCTTAAAAAAAATTAATTTCGTTCTTACCCGAAACAAAAAGCTGTCGCTAATCTTAAGTCGTTAACAGATAATGTCAAATCGTTAACAGATAACGTTAAAATGGAAGTCTCCTGTTCATACCATAGCAAGCAACATTTTTAAATTTAACTTTAACGCTGGGTTAACAATTTCTTCTCGTTTCGATAACATGGCGCCGAAACGAAACAAAATGATTTCGTTAAGTTTATTTTTCATAATGTTGTTTTGATCGTTTTTAATATGTCGTGATCTGTCATTTTTATTCTCAGTGTATTCGGTAATGTTTAGAATTTCATCATGGCAAGATATACGCAAAAACAATGTTTACAAACAACAACAACTTGAAAACGATAACGATTTTTTCACAAAATCATCTGATTTGTGCGATAAATAAACCGAACAGTCGATACTGGTACGGAGACAATCCACAAATTATTCAGGAACAACCATTAAATTCACCCAAATTGACAGATTGGTGTGGTTTTTAGTCTGGGGGAATTATCGGTACGCACTTCTTTCGACATGGAGAACGCTATAGATCGTTGACAACCAAATTTTTATGACCACAATTGGAAGAAGTTGATCTTTACAACAGCTGTTTCCAACAAGATGGTACTGCGTGTTACACAGCACGTACAACAACCGAATTATTGCGAGAAAGGTTCGGATATTCCATTATTTCAAGGAATTGTGACCTTAAATGGCCTCCAAAAAGTTATGATTTAACACCATTAGACTAGGGTTATTTGACAAAAAAAACAGACTCTCTTCAAGCTTTAAAAGTCAATATTGAACGATGCTGGATTTAATGGAAAAAGTGCTCAAAAATTGCGTTCATCGAACTCGTTCCTCTAAAAGAAATCGTGAAGGCCAATTTAAATGGTTTTATATTCAGAACTTAATTGTATTGAGTTTCCTTAACAATAAGGGGATTTTTTTTTAAGAAACCATATCATACTTATTGGAAAACCCTACATATATATAACAATAATGTACAATATTAAGTGTTGTAAATTTCATTCACATAATTTTTGCATGCATTTCAACACGTACGCCATGCAATACAAAGTCAGTTGAGCAACGAGTTCAGAGAACAATTGTATTTTTGTTGTTGTCATTCTTGCAGCTGATGACAATTGTTTGCATAACTGCCTTAAATGGCTTGAATTCTTAAGTATTCATCTGCATAAAACTTTAATTCGCACATGCTTAATAAAACGTAAATACGTTATGGGAAATTAACATTTGCAGAACGTGTTGGGCAGCCAAGGTGCTTGCTTACTACCAATCGCCACAACATTCTGATAAAACTGACGGAATGATTACATATGTATGTGTGTGTGTGTGGCTGAAGTTGTATTCATACAAAGTGCAATTCGCTTACGCTTACTGGACATAAGTTTTTGTTAGTATTGTTGATGTAGTTCAAGGCAATGATGATATACCCTCGGTATGTGCATAAATGCAAACATATGTAAAAATACTTGTTTTTCAATGATATCATATCAATACTACTGTTCACCGTAACTACCAGAAGTATCCGCACTCATCCCGATGATGCTGTTGGGGTGATCATTATTTTGTACATAACTTTTAGTGATGTATAAAATATATGAATATCGCTCCCACCGCTGTGTGAGTTCTCGACTCCAATATATGTATAAGTGTATGTATATGTTCATATAAATGTATTTATATAAAAAATAGGCTGTTGAAGAAAGGTGATTTGCACCTTCTTAACTGCCATAAACGGATTCTCATGATACCTTTTTTATTTTATTTTATTTTATTTTATTTTATTTTATTTTATTTTATTTTATTTTATTTTATTTTATTTTATTTTATTTTATTTTATTTTATTTTATTTTATTTTATTTTATTTTATTTTATTTTATTTTATTTTATTTTATGTTATTTTATTTTAACTTATTTTGTTTTATTTTATTAATTATTTGTACATAAAAGTATGTTGAACTCTTTGAAGTAATTGTACTAATGGTTAAGCAATGTAGTAACATTCAGCCAATTACATTTAAACAATATAATTGAGTATTAAATTTTCTCAATTATTCATATATAGAATAATTTATATCTTATATCCATCTGCTTAATACATTTACGTACATTTGTATATGTACAAAAGTACATGCATAAAATATACAAATTACCTTTATTATGCCGGGCTGTTGTCCTTTGCTTTCGCTCTTCCTTTATTTAATGACTATTTACTGTATTCTGTTGCACGATTGACTATCTGCCTATCTCTCCGAATACCATAGACTCACTTGTCGTGGTAATTAGCGAAGAAATACAAATGAAATTATGCATAAATTAATGTTGGTGTCTGCAAAAGGCAATGAGAATATACATATATATATAAGTATTTAGTATAACGTTCAGTGAGTAGTATATAAACGATGATATATTAACTATAACTACAAAATATTGAGGTATGTACAGTAGTGCCCAATAAAGTATTTAGTTGATTTAGCTTTTGTTATATATAAAGTCTTTAATAATGAATAAATTGCAATATATAGTTAATATAAATTTAGGGAAAGTTGGATAGTCGGCAGATATTTATATTAAATCAACAGATTACTCAATAATGTAAGAGAGGTAGGACTATTTCTGGACCAATATTTGCCGAACCCATGCATTTTCTTCTTGAAAGTAGGATACCTATATAGTTTAGTTTAGTTCTTTCAAGGTATTGAGTCAAGAACGTCATTTTCATACCTTTTACCCAAAGAATGAGTAATTTTTTGTAACTCTTGACAGGAACTTCAAGATGCATAAAACCAAACATATGTTTTCATAAATGTATTTATTTTAAATTATCCTTCACACGATAAACAATATTTGATGCGCGCTTTGCAGAGGAGATATTTGCCCACAAAACCGATTCGATTGAAAAATTATATGACAACATTTTATACTTTGATATAGTTAATATAAACAAAAAGGAAATGAAGCAGAAAGTGCTCCAACACCCACATTATTTGTACGGCTGTTAAGAAAACCATTACCTTTTTTGCGAATTACTATGTAATATTCTGTAGGCTTAGAAGGTCGCCTTATCTGTTGCAAGAATATAAAGTACGTACCTAAGTTTAACCGTACGAGCTACGAGACAGTACTTTTGATCTAAACATTATATTAAAAGATTTTATTTCCACATTATCTCAGCAAGGTATATTTCTGCCTTGCTTGTGCAACAGATATCCTCAGTGAAAGCAATTTAATTAATCGTAAAAGTTTTTCTCCGACTGTCACTATTTAATATATATTTAGATTTAGATTTTATGAAAAAACTTTCTTGACGTAGAGTTGTGACTTAACCACTTATGGAGTTAAATTCTATATCCAAATTCTATTTTCTTACTTTAATCATACCTCACAAGTTTTAAGTCTTTCAATTACTGATTAAAATCTGTGTAATATTACATAAACATTTTACAACCTTCCTCAAGAAGCAATTAAAAAAATATTTAAAATTTAATTTCCCAGTATCTTCGCATTAACATTTACCCACGATTATTTTCTAGCAAGCGATAAATATGCCGGTAACTGAAATGACCGCTTACTTGGTAAGCATTGTAGTAAGATTCCAGTGCACGGAAAGGGTGTACTAGTATGCAAGAATTCTAGTTCAATACTAGTGTTTTGAAGACCAAATCATTCTAGTTTGTCGAAAATCAGAAATAATTTTTTTCAGTTTTGAGTAATATTTTTTTTTAATTTATATATGTTTTCCATTGTTTTACAAATATTCCTAACGAAAAATTCTCCTATTGCCCATTATAGTACAGTTCATAATTAATTTCATGTGTGCAAAGGGACACATTGAGTGAATTTCGTTTTAATAAAATTAAAATTAATTTATTAGATTTGTGTTCCTTCGAAAACACAACGCATTTCCCGTAACTCGGAACCAATCTTACGACACTGTAGATTGATTGCAGATTAACTCGGAACTAATCTACAGTCTTGTAGGGGGAGGGTTTTGAAAGTATTTCCTAAACAAGTGGGTTTTTAATAAGACATGGGTAGGAAAAAGTAAACAAAGTATTCCCTAAACTAAGTTCGAATTTTATTTACGTTTTATATCACAAAAAAAATAATAATAATTTTTGGACTGGGATCAAATCTGGACTAGTTTGTAAAATTTCAAGTACTGAACTAGTAGATATTCATACCAGTTTGTCGTTTTGCAAAAAAAAAAAAATACAGCAGAACTCATAAGTAAGTAGAATTAGAATGATGATTTTGTGTCAGGACTATCATTAATAAACATATTTTGTTTTCAAAATGAATACGTAAAGCAAATGAAAATTTATATTTAAATAAATACATGTACATACAAGACAATACAAACAAAATCTGACTCATTGAGTTTTGGCTAAAAATAGGTAAGTAGTTGAATTTCGTAGGTAAACTGGTTTCTAAGCTGGTGGAATCAGTCGAGCGGATTTTTCACGATGCTCCGAGACGAACTAGTTTCCAACTTATGTGAATGAACCATTATTTCAACTCGTGCATATGAACTGGTATTTAATTAGTATGAAGCTGATGCATAAACTGACAACTGATGATGATACTGATAATGTTAAGGATGCTTATTCCACGGCAATTCGCTCTTTTTGAGGATTGAGCTTATTTTTTTATTTACTTTTTTTTTCGTGAAGTAGCAAATCAACATGCCTAAATGAACTGGTATACAACTAGTATGACGCTGATTTAAGCCTGATAGTAAGCCAATTGTCAGCTCGTTGCTTACAATGAAAATAAATCAATGTTGAAATAGTTAGTGTAAACCAACTTGGATTCTTGTTAAAAACCAGTCATTTACTTCTGAACTTTTACTTAAGTATAACTCCTCAAAACGGAACTAAAGAAGTGGTTGGAGAGCTTGAGAGAATTCGCTTGTTTCACTTCGCTTCTTTTTATTACATTTATTGAGTATCAAAGACTTTTTCGCTGCCACACCAAGTCATCACAGAGATAATCTTATATTTAGCAAATATTTTTATAACAAAACAACCGTTATTATAACTCAAAATATAGTCTAGTATTTTGTTATTTTTTTCTTTATTTTTTACTATATTTACCAGCTTAACCACTGGTGTATTATACATTTCTATGCGCCGCGAGTTTTCACGTAGTTTCCACTTTACCTCTTCGTTTTTAAAGCCTTACCGTTTACTGCTGGGTAAAGTAAAAACTCATTTATGTACATATTACCATGTATGTATGCATGACATGCCATAACACCACCTGTAACTATAAAAATTGAATTTCAACTTAAACTTTCGGCTTTTACTGCTTGCCAGCTTTTTTTCATATTTTTCCAGCACGATTCAATTTAAATACGGTTATACTTCTGCTTCTTCTTCCTGTTGCATACAAGCCATAATAATATTTATTTTTCGTCACTATATCCTCTCATCTTTAATTGGTGCTCGCAACCGTTTGCAGTTGTTATAAGTTGGTGGTGACTTTACAGGGAATAATCCATGAGCCCACTGTTTTGCATATACTCATAAACGTATGTATGTATGTTTATGTGTGTGTGAGAGAGTGCATGCATGTCTATGCGCTTTATTATTCTTCTTGTGTAAATTTTTTTAATTGACATCATCTTTTAATATCCAATAAAAACTTAAACCTTCAACGCCGCCGCCGCACCTAACCAGCAGCTGATATGCACGGCCCGTTCCGCCCCATTCTACCATGTTCCAGCATTTGATATGCCCGCCAGCTGTAATAACAACAATAATGGCATGTCAGTTGCGTTGCTGCTGTATACGATGAACTCTTACACCATCCACCAAGCAGCACCAGCACCACCACCACCACCACACAGAGCCTTCATCAGCAGCAGAAACAATAATAACAATCGTTTGCTTTTCTTTTGCTGTTGTTAATATTTTTCTTGTTTTATTTATTTTACATTCTTTGCTTTATATAACATTTTTTTTTTATTTTCCTTACTTAAGCTACAGTGCTCGCTGGCAGTTGGTGTATCGCACCTCAGGCAAATTGCGCGCGTTGAATCTCCTTTCGAAAGCCGAAACATGCTTCCTCTTCTCGGAACAGCATAAATAATTGCGCCAGAATCCCCTTGGTTTGTATAACCGCACTGGTTGTATAGATCATAGCGGGAGGGGGCTTCGGAAGGGGTGCGGTCATGAGTAGGTGTGTGTTTTTGCTGCTTCTGCTGGCTCTCTGTTTCGAAATGTAAGCTTGTCTATATGCCTGAGTTTCATGTGTATGTTTTCGTTTGGCGAAAAACTCGGAAATGCGATTAAAATGCGCGCCACAGAGAGAAATGCAATTTTACAGGCACACCGTCCACTGACGCCTGGATACAGTCGTACACGTTCTTCTGTCCATTGATAAGTCAATGGGATTGAGTTGGTAAATTCCCTGTGTTTGCTGTCCGCATAGGACTTTGGTTTCTTCGCATGCCAGCATGCCAGTATGAAGAAAATATATAAATGGATGCTACAAACCGTGCTTACTTTTTGAAGACAGAGCCCAAAATAAAAATACTTTGTGAACTTTTTAGGAATGCCTTTAATGTAAGTTTAATATATTTAAAAAAAAAAAATGTTAAAATGATTGCTGTCTTACATACTCGTATATTGGCCTCACAGAATTACTTTTGTATATTTTTGTCGGAATTGAGAGCCATTCGATACCAAACGAAGCTTCAGGCAGGTGACACTTTCTTTTTTTTAGAGCCAGTTAAACAAGAGTCTCAAACTGTTGGCGTATGCCGATGCCATCTTATGCCTTAACAACCCCTCGTAAGCTCTACCTTTTCCAAAGCTTGACAAAGAAGCCAAGCAAATTGGATCTGAATGTATCGCTCACAACAAGGCAAGACGAAATATCTCTCGTCAGCAAACGAACAGTCGGCGCATTTACAGCTTGGCGCTCACGACACTGTTGACAGTCTTAACTTCGGGGTCGTAGACAACTTCGTCTGTGGAGGAACAAACTTCAACTCAAATAAATAATAATTTTAGCCACGAAATCAAACGCAGAATAACTCTTGCCAATAGATGCTACTCTGGATAGAGCAAGCAATTGAAACGAAAAGTTTGTCTTCGACGAACCACAAACAAACTGTACAAGTTACTTAACATTCCCATTGCTCTGCATGATACAGAAGGGTAGAGAGTTGCAACATCCGATAGGGCGGACCTCAAGTAAGATTGATGTGCTTTTTCTTTGCTCGGATCTTCTACTACAGACAACCCCGGCGAAGTCGATCACCCTCAACCCAGTTGAGGATGTTTCGTTGTGGGCGCTAAAATTTTCGACAGTTGTGCCGAA